TTTAACACCGAGGTATTTCTACAGTACATCATTTAATAAAATAGTTTCCATTTTTAGAAGTGGACGGAATCGAAACCAGATCTAGTTAGTGGTAAGCGTTTTTGCTTACTGCATGTATGGAGTGATTATATCGGAAAAAATGTGGGTTATAATTATAACAACTTTTATTGCAAGTAATAAATTTGAAAGTAAATTATAATTGATATAAAAAGTATTAACAACAGTGCATACGAGTATTAGAACAAATTCTATCTGATACTCTTGTTAGGCTGATATATGGTAGTTAACCTGGTGTGACGAAATGCGTCAATTAGGTTAACAAGTTATAATTTGACGTTGATCAGTAATTAGCAATATAATTGTTAAGAAATGTATTAAGGGTTGTAACCTTTTAGAAAATATCTAGAGCCTGTTGAAAACGTATACCGAGCTATATGAATTTTTGTATTTATTTATTAATGAAATATGTTAGCATTTGAACTCTATTATTAGTATCTTGTAAACAACAATTAATCAACATAATAGCAGGATTTAAATGAGTTCTAATGTGCTCTAGTGTGTTCTCAAGAATTTTATTATTCACCTTTTCTATTTATTAAGTGTTACCTATACGAGTTATGAAAATGTTTTGTTGAAATGAATTTAATTATAGTAGTTTTAAGATGTAGACAGCGTTTAGATTGTTTAGATTGGGGGGTGGTTTTCCAAGTTCTTACCAAACAGATATGTAATAATAATTGTTTTATTTGATATAAAAATTGAAAAAATTTAGATGTGCGCATTAAATTACGTGCACATATTACGAGAAATAAATGCGAATAGCATCGCAATTTAGAATACTGGCTGCCCTTTTTGTTAAACTTTTGTATAAAATTAAAAAGAAAAATAATATACAGTTTAAAATGTTATTTTTTTAATATATCACCCGAAAAAGAAAAGAAAAAGTATCTAGAATCACGTCAGTTGTGTACATTAAACTTTATGCGAGATACTTTTTTATGTTTGTCGCGTGTGCGTGTTAAGTGCAAATTAGTAAAGCACCAGACGAATGGGTAATTAACGAAAATAAAGGCTTTAGAAGACAATCACTTAAATTAGCTATACAAAAAACAGATTTTATAGAACAAAATTAAAAAACAATAGAAAAAAGTTGAAAGAGAAAAATGTTCTGACACCTTTTGAAACCTCACAATTGCAGTTTAATTAGTTTGCTTCAAAAGTAATTCGGTACCCTATCTGCTACAATGAATTTTCATACGTTAAGTTGTTTACTTCTTTCCAGTTAGGCATACTTATATGTGCGGATTTTTTATATTAGTTTTGCACTTTGAGTATATATTTCTAATGATCAATTATGTTAAATAGACATAATATTAGTACATTAATCTGAACTTGACAGTATTAATATTTTTATGTGTTATATAAAAATTACAAAAAACATATTGTTTGTAATATAGTTTCACATTCGTTAATACTGATTAAATTAATTTAATTATACGTCTATATCCATCTATATCTATGTACGTATATATGAAAAAACATTTTATCTTATTAAGAATTTAAATTATTTTAATGTATTTTATTTAAATGAAGTGCAAGTCATGTCATATTATAAAAATGGTTCTAGAAATTTAAATTCTGCTGCTTTAGTAAAGTTAGTAACTGAAGTACAATATTCTTTGGAATTGGCCTTTAAGTTAACAAAAAACGAAAGAAAAATATAAAAAGTCATATAGAAATATAATAAAATAATTTACTTAAACTACTAATGATATTTCTTTTGTTTTATTCCATAGACATTTATTTTTAATGTCAACTTTTTTTTGTTAATAAAAGATCACATTTCCTGGAAGTTAAAGTCGATTCTAATATAAAATAAAAAAGTTATTCATTTCAATAAAGATAATAATAAAAACAATATAAGGAATCAAGCGTACTATGTCAATAGGAATACTTCTATCCGCATACACGGTTTACACAATTAATTGTTTGTATTTCAAATCAATATAAATCTTACTAAATTTCAATTTACAATGTAAGTGAGTACATTGGTTATTTCACTATTACGTACTTAAGCGTTTTAAAAAATTTTGTATACACACACATTCTTCGCAAGACAACATCGTTATTGTTTCAAATTTCTTGGTATTTCATATATAATTTTTGCCTTTTTATTTGTTTCTTAGTCTCTTCTAGTCCTAAAAATACTAGCTCGTAAATACTAGCTCATATAGCAATGGGAGTATTTAGAATGCTGACAATGGAACAATAATGAACAATAATGAAATAATTGACCATTAACAGTAACGTTACGTCTAAAAATTTCACTGGACAACCATTGTATAAATATTTATAATACCAAAAGAAAAATTTAAAATATGAAAAATAATTAAATTGAATATATTTGATCAGATATTTATAGGTATTTAATATAATTATGTGTCAGTAGAAATCGCCAATAAAAGTATAATTTATTTTAAATTATTTCATTTACTAAAGAGTTTACATTCAATTTGATTATACCAGTACGTTATAAAGCATATAGTTTTTAGGCAAGAAAGTTAAAACTCTTTACATCGATTCATAGCAATCGTTGGTGATTACAAACGGTAAACTTCAACGAGAGTAAAAGGGTATATCTTACAAGGAAGGTAGTACAAGAAGTTAGTGGTTTGCTTTTCAAGAGGGATGGACTACTTGCAGAGGTACTTTTTAACTTATAATTTAAAATAACGTTGTAGCGTTTTGAAATATCTTTATGTAAAACTACTTCAGTTTGAAAGTATTTATATATAAAGGTTTAGTTAAAATATGTATTACCGAAAGATTGAATATAAAAGAATATCATCTCAAAGTTGAAGATCAGATTTATGAAAAGAAAGTTCATGGATTTTGCACAACGATGACGTGTCATCTCATTGGTCAAATAAATATTGAACCATTTAACAATAGATTTTCGATACTTTCTTATCATAGTAGTATAATTATTATATATTAAAAGAAGCAATACATGAAATAAAGTCTACTAAACCATTTCAGTAAGAAGTATCATTATTATTATTTAGTATTATAGTCTAAAGTGATGTTTACATTTTTAGTTCTCCAATTTTATATTGTCATATATAATTCCATATATGCCAGTATTAGTGTACTAAATACACATTAACCCCATTTACATATACTATAATACTTATATAACTGTTTCATAAGTAAAAACTAGCATAATTTTGACCATTCTCTGGTTAGGATGGGAATAGAGTTATAGTTATTGTTTTTTGTAATTATATAGTGTCTATTTGAACTTTCTTACGGGTCAATTTAATCAGTTTGTTTTAATGAATTAAACTACTTCTCATCAACAGAAATATATCAATATATTGTAAGCTTTCATTGGTACTTTTTGGAATTGAAAGGATATAGAATGCACACATGACTGAAGAACTAATTTATATGTCATTGATGGTATACTTCAAATATATCCTCAAAGAATAAATTTTCTACAACAGTGTCCAAACTTTGATTTTTAGTTCTGAAATAATAATATATTTAACATTAAACATATTAATTATTAGAAAAGTAAAACTAGCTTAAAATGATTAGATAGATAGATAGATAGATAGATAGATAGATAGATAGATAGATAGATAGATAGATAGATAGATAGATAGATAGATAGATAGATAGATAGATAGATAGATAGATAGATAGATAGATAGATAGATAGATAGATAGATAGATAGATAGATAGATAGATAGAAACAGATTAATTTTGTTAAGTTGTTCATATAGACTATATTTTGTATGAGCGTGCGGACTGCATAAATTTAATATCATCGATGATTTCTTCATTACGTCACCAAACGTTAACTTTTAACTTACATAATGTAACAAGTTCAGATACAAGTTCTTATGGAACATTTAATTTATTGAAATATTTTCATTAAATTACTTACTTAGAAATAATTCTCTTATGCACTCGTAAAATTCTCAAGAATCACGAAAAAATCGGTAGTAATTATTTAATTGCTCTTTTTGAATTATTTAAGGCTTACTTACTCTGATAGTCAAGAGTATATAAATGCGATATTTAGTTCTTAGTAAAATTAAATCTGTTGTCCTTACCAATGCATTGGTAAGCCTTAATTCACGTGATGTGTAAACGTGATTGTAAACTTTATGTACATAGCTTAGAAGAAGCTTTTGCCGATCACAAAGCCTTGCTTGCTCTGCTTTGCTGTAAGCTTAACTTAGATTTTTCGCTCAGCTCTGTTTTGCTCTGATCTGTACAGTAAGCATGCTTTGAAGTAGTGTGACTAGACTGGTTAATATATATCAGTGTAGATATAAATTTATCATACTGTAAGGTTGTCTATACGTACGAGTATTAGCATTGATGCTGGACTGCTGAGCTTAGCTTATAATGTAGTACTTTTATAATTTCATATAGTATTTTGTGATTAAAGTCAATATAAAGGGTCAAGCTGCAACTATGAGACTCGCATTTAGTCAACCATTTTTGGAGCGTTAAGAAGTGTGCACGGTGCGTAACGCGTGTGATAAAAGTTGAAAAATATATATGTTTAAAATAAAATAAAAATACAATTCAACAATTCAAGAATTCAAGTCTTTTAAAAAGTAATTCATGAAACAAAAAATTGTGAAATAAAAATTTAAATAAGATATATATTTAAATGTTATGATTAAGAAGTACATTTATTTTTAACACAATTGTCAATAAATAAAATAATGAAGGTTTATTTTGCTAAAATCGGTTAAGAGGATTGGATTCAGAAGGACATGCGGTAGTCCAGTGCTGTCAACTTAAAACTGGCTTATTAAATATAATCTACTTAATTGAGGACAGCCGTATAAATAATAAATGAATTCTCATTTTTAAAAGAGGAAATAACATTATTAATCAAGTTAAAATTGTTGTGTACAAATATTAATATTAAATTTAAAAAAAAATCTGTTGATTCAAATAAATTTATATAATTATAATTTATTCATAATAAACTATAAATTAACAACTTAAGAAAATGAAGTTGTTTACAGCAAATAATGCAAAAAATTCGAGTAAGTAAACTAAATTATATACGTTAATACTTAAGTTTTAGTTTCTCTGAACTTTGCTTTTTGTAACATTGAATCTGTGAAAAATCTTTTAATTAAAAAACAAAATTCAAATAAATAAAATTAAAATTAATTCAATTATATTTAATTAGTATTTAAAAATGAAAACGTATAGTAATAATGTCAACAGATCAATGTCAAGGTTAGGCAAACCTAAAATTATTGTTTATCTTGAAGTTGTTGAAATTGTTGAGTTAAATTAATAAATACTATGAAAATGCAATGAAAATACGAACACGTTTAAGGAAACTGTTTAGGCTTAAAAAGGTTCTATGCTAAACATCGGATAATGGGGGTCTCTACTTTTCCCTTATTTAGTTGAACCAAAATCTATCGATATTCAAATCATCTTAGAATATCTTAGATCTAAGAACCTAAAATTATTGTTTATCTTGTATTTGTTGGGATATAATAATAAATACAAACGTTGAAAATACGAATATGTTTAAGGAAACTGTTTAGGCTTAAAAAGATTATATGCTAAACATCAGATAATGGGGGTCTACTTTTCCCTTATTTAGATGAACCAATATCTATCGATATTCAAGTCATCTTAGAACATCTTACATCTTAGAATCTAAAATTATTGTTTATCTTGTAGTTGTTGGGATATAATAATAAATACAAACATTGAAAATACGAATATGTTTAAGGAAACTGCTTAGAATGAGGGGCTACTTTTCCGTTATTTAGTTGAACCAATATTTATCGATATTCAAACCAACTTAGAACGATATTTATAAAAAATTTCACAAGAGTATTCGTACTGTACAAGTATTCGTAAGAAATTTGTTTACTTATACGCTGTGATTTATTACAATTTCTTTTAAAATTTACTAAATTTTGTTCTTTAACATGTAATTTTCTGTAATTGTAAAGTAATAAATAACAAATTAGTACGGTAAGTAAACAATATCGTTTGAAACTAATTAAGTATAAGTTTGTCATTAAAAATGTACACAAATTTAATTAGGAAAGATATTAAAAAAGATACATTGTAAAGTTATAATGCTAGACTAGTGTTATAAAAATCCTTTACACAACACCGGAATATATAACAACTTACTCAGTAACATATTTAGAACTGATGTAGTGTTCACGTGGCTATTTTGTTTTAGTATGGTTATTCCCCATTAAATTGTATTTATAAATATGAATACTGATAAATAAAAGTTATATTTAAAATATAGTTTAAGAATAGAAGATACTTTCGCTTCAGTTTGAAATGTAAATAATTAGTCATTGCATACTGTTAGGTTAACTTGTGCAAAAACAAAGCCCTTTCTGGGTTATTAGTTATTTTACCTTAGGGTTTGCTTAAAGTAAAACCTGGCAGTGTAAAGTGTCTTGAAAGTTAATTTAAAACAATATTTTGTGGAAAAAATGTTAACCTTAACCTTCATGTGGTTAGACTATGTTTTCAAAAGCTGAAGCGTTATATGAATGCCTCAATATCAATGTTAAGTTGAATATACTTGAAGAATCATACATGTACAATGCAAATTTGGAGGCTTAAATAATTTTAAAATTTTATTGCTAAGGTAGCAGTTACACCGAAACCCCAGGTACTTGCAATTAAAGAACCTTTGAACTATTAAAAATCAACCTGCAATTAAACTTTATATGATTCAAGTATCTACCAGGGGAAAAGTATTGGAGAGAATGTTTTAACATGTATTAAAATAAAATAATTTATTTTTAACCATATTTAAACGGAACTAAAATCTCTTCAAAGTATAACTAAAGAAATTTAATTATTTGACTTAGATATTTTTTAGATCTATATTTTGTAATGATTTCTTAAATTATTCGGTATCAATCGGTATGGTCTTAAACTAGCATTATTCTATAAGTTATTCCTAAATAGTATGTATCTTAGTTTTGGGACATGTCTAGCTTGGTTTCCATCAAATATATATATATATTAGTTCACTTCATTTTTATTTGAGTTTTAAAACTAAATTTTTATAACTGATAGACAAATTGTCAGTTAATTAGTATCTTAAAAATCAGTTTTCAGCAATCTTTAATAAAAGGATAGTTTTTAAATTAATTATTTAAGCATACGATAATTAATAGTTAATATATATACTTTAATTATTATAATAATTAAAAGTATTTCAGTAATTTTTAACGATATATTTATTATTCATTTTTATTAAATAATTATTTTATTTTTTTTAAAGAGTAGTAAATTTAATAAATAAAATTAATCGGTAAATATAAAAGAAAAATATCTTATTAACATTTATTAAAGTAATTAAAACAGACATTGAAAATGTTCTTAATACAAAGTGGATTTATCTCCGAATATATTTCATTTATAATAAAATAAAATTAAGGAGACGAATCGATAACAAAGTGTACTCACAAATGTTTTTAGTGTTCAATTTAAGTCGTAAAAATACATAAAGTGCTAATTAACATCACTAAAAATAAGGATATAGACAGCGCTTTAGGTAAGAGCAGTACGATATGGAAATTTTAGGAAATAAGAATAAAAATAAAGGAAAAGGTTTTGGTAGAAATTGAGATTTTTATTAACAAATCTCATTATTATATTATGATGTGTAATATATATGAAGCATCTCTAATAAATTGAGTGAAACTTGAAAAAACAGAAGTCGGAAAAGTGTTGTAATAATCTTTGAAAGATTTGAATGAATACCTTTAAGTATACTTTAAAATTAGACAAGAACATATAAAGGATAGTATATAACAATATGAAGTTGTGAGAAGATCGGCACCATTTGTTTAAGTGGGTAACTTCAACAGTAGATTTAACTTAAAAAAGTTATAGTCAGATAGTATTAGAAACAAAAAATATCATATTCTTCAAACACTGAATATTTATATAATATGTACATATATATAGTTAAATTGTGAAGCGAACATACACGTTATTTTTTTAAAGTAACATTTTTTAGTAAATAAAATTTGAAAAATATTATTTTCATATCATTGTAGTATGATAAACATAATACTTTTGTGAATTAATTATTTAATTATTTATTTTAATTAATTGTTTTAAATGATAATTGATTAATTAGGTCATATGTAGCTCCAATTATTTTTTTTATCCAGCAGATTAAAATGTGACCTTAAAATTCAAAAGGATGAGATACATTGCTTAATTCTTGATATAAGATAAGTGAAAAACAAATAATAGTTAGAGGCGAAGGATATATTAGTTATCATTTATATTTAAAAAAAATAATTCAAAGTAGTTATAAATAAAACTATTACTCAAGCAATTAATTAATTATTTTAATTAAATAAACATTCTGTCACTTCACTGTATGTGATATTTGTGAATCTTAATCACAGCCTTAATTCTTCGGTTATTTATTTAAGTGAAGCTTAATTCAAAATTATGTAATATTTCTACATAAAAATAAATTTTAAATAAACTTAACTGTGATATTTTTCATACATTTCTGTATATGCCACAGTTGTCGGATTACTAATAATAATTAATTAATAAATTTAAAATAAACTTGCATAAATGCGATGATTTTCTTTAAGATTTTATAGTAAAATTTTAGTTTTGTAGTATACATAAACTAACATAAAATATATGCAATTCAGTTGAAATTAAAATTTTAACTACAATTCAATTCTTAAATACAATTAAGAAACAGTTAAGATTTGAAAAGTTTATATTGATTTGTAAAATACCGCAAAAAAGAGTTAAAGATTTACAGACGATTAGATGTATGTATGTTATATATAAATATTTGAAAACTTGTATGTACTAAATATTTAACATAAGAGTATGAGAAATAAAAAATTTTATGAAATAAATGTCCTTGACATAGTAACGCTTGCAAATTCTTTCAGAAATTGATTGACCTATTGGAAGAGGTGTTGAATTTAGTGGATTTCTTTGCTTTTGCTTTAATTTTATTGCTCAACAGTAATTAGTATAACTTAAGTCATTACCAATCAATATTGTTTTGTAACCGCATTTGAGGTTTATAAATTAAAATCTAACAATATATGAATCTCAATCTTTTCTTTTTTTATAATAAATTCTCATTGACCATCTTCGTAGATTTCCCATGAAAACCCGAAGGTGTAGTTTTTTTTAATGAAATCAAATTAACATGTTTTTTTTATAGAACTAACAACTAACACTCATAATATTATTTAATATAATTCGTTAAAATATTGCAGCTACGTTGAATGAGTGCCCATCTTCGAAAATTTATTAAGTCACAAAACTTTTTTAAACTTTCATTGAAACAATAATAGATAATAAAATTGTTTAAAAGATTTGAATATAAATTTTACACGCGACTTAACTCATTCAAGTGATTTTAATAAATAGCATGACTAAAGTGGATAACATGGACGTGGTCATTAAAGTGAATTATCTTTGGAAAAGGATGGGTGGCGTTTTACCTAATTGATATAATTTGTGATAATTTTGTTGAATAATCGAAATTCCTCAATGAAATAAATAAAAGGCTTGACGTTTTATGAACTATTGATTGTAATGTGAAAATAACATGTATTATTATATTAATTTAAGATACTGACAATCTATACACACTTTGTGAAACACATTATTCTCATATCATCCATCTCAAAGTCTATAAAATATCTAGACTACATGTTATTTTGATACGGTTATTGTTGAGTGATTTTCTAAGAATTTGTAATCAAACTCTTGGCTAAGATTGTAAGATGGTACAGAACTAAATTGTTAAGATAGCCAAAAGTATCTTATTCCGATATAACGTGATCATACAACGTTTTCAATTGCAAATTAAACTAGAAAAAAGCTTTGATGAACTACTAACCTTTGTTAGTATTAATGATTGTAGATTTCTTTAAAGTTTGTTGCTAAGTGTCAGACTAACTGTTATGTATTTATAAAATTTGTAAGATTTCTTAATGTAAATGAATCTAGAATTCTAATATTCATAATTTGAAAATACGCAAAGCACAGTGTCAAATAGAAATATTACAATGAATACGACAATTATTTAAAATATGACATTCTTATTTAAAATTATATAGGAAATGTTGCAGTCAAATTGTATTGTTTGTTTTGCTATGTGACATTTGTCTGTGTCAGTGTCAGTATCAGTGTGTTAAATACTTATATTTAAATATTTATTTCTAAGCTTTGCACAAAGTAGAAACTTTCTTAAAATCTAACTTATTCTGGAGAGAGTATTAAAAAATGTTTAAGTGTTTCTATCGAAAATTTATTCTTACAACTTATAGTACATGTAATATTTTACATTTCAATTCAAGTTTGTTAATAAAACTATATTATATAGTATTATTATATAGTAATACTAGGCATATTATATAGTATATTATTAGTTATATTTATGTTCCACATATCCTTCAGAGAATATACATCCATTGATATTGGTCCAATATCAATGGTGTTGCTAAACGATTGTAGCCATTTTTCTTCGTCTTTTTGTCTATGCCACTGATATATAATAGAAATATAATCATAAATCCTTCGACTCAATTATATGGTTATGCTGATGACTTAGTTTTAATCGCACGAAACACAAGAAGCATGAGTTAGGTATTTCAAAAAAATTGAATCAGAAGTCAAAAGGATGGGTGAGCATGTCAATTGGAATAAAACAAATTACACGATTATATCGTCGAATAAAGTAACATTAGACGTTATTAAAATCGGTACATATGAATTTGAAGGCGTGAACAGCTTTAAATATTTGGGAACAACGTTAAACGAGAGTAACACAAAATGTTGAATATCCACGATAGAATACAAGCTGGAAACAGGTACTTCGACAGTTTAAGAAAACTTATGACATCTAAAAATATATCGAGAAAAACGAAAATCTTGTTATATAAACAGTTATATGGCCGGTAGTCACTTATGGGAGTGAAACCTAGAAAGTAAATAATGCCGAAGCAAACAAACTGGCGGTATTTGAAAGAAGAATTATGAGAAAAATATTTGGGGGAGTCCAAGAAAACGGAAAATATCAAATAAGATACCATATAATGATGAACTCGATCAACCGATGGAAGGTGACCCAATAATCAAAATGGTGACACATTAAAAACCAACGCTTGAAATGGATAGGATACGTTGTTTGGATGTCAGAACAAAGAGCAGCAGCCAGAATCTTTGAAAAGGAAGACCGAGAAAGAGATGGAATGACAGTATCCGACAGGATGTGAAAGAAGTAAATTTCAGCCAAAAATAGATAAAAACCAAAAATAGGGAAGAAGGAAGGGAAGGAGGAATGTCGTACGTTTAGATTCAACATGGACTGTATAGCTATAGATGATGATAACATCGATTATAATTATCAGTAAATGCCCTGTATTATATTTTCTAACAATTTAAAATATATGAACAGAGTTCAAAATAGTTATGTTTTAAATTAATTAGCTGTAAGTATTAATATTCCATCAATCATTTGATACTTATATTTAGAGATATTTGTTACGGTCAAAAGTTATACATATTTAAATAATAATAAAATCATGAAATTTACATATGTTTAGATTAATAAAATAGCTTTTTGTTTAAAATAAAAATTATATATCACAAACTGGCGTTTAATTTTGCATAAAAATACAAATATTCATAAAAGAGATATGAGATATAATTAGTGAAGTAATATATTAGTGTATAAGAAATTCAGCGATAATATTTGTTCGCTTTGCTTATAGTGCATAAATAAATAGATAAACAGATCGCATAATGCATTTTGTTTGAATTTAATTTATGCAATTTTTTATTGCCTTACATTATATGTATGTATATTTTTCTCAACTTGAAATTTGTTTATTTTTATTTACGATGACGTTTATTAAGCCGATTCAAAACATTTATTGCTTTCTGGTATTTTTTATCTGCTTTTCTTGCACACTAGACTGAGTTACCGGAAGAAATCGAAGGTGTTCGCAAGATCGATTGATCGCCGTATCGCTTGATATACGCGTCTGTGAACGCGAACGCCATCGCATTAAAGAAGACTGAACACACACACACACACACACACCAACATACACATTTATTCACTTTGCTTAATTGATAATAAAATATGTTGTATTTTGTTGCGTTTTCATAATTTTTTTTGGTGTTTCGTACGGTTGTTTTTTTTTACCACAACTCAGCGCATGATTAACACTTAAAATGTATGAGATGAGATGTTGGCTTGCGGCAGTGTTTATGGCTAAACTGGGTCAAGCTACTACTGACATATTGCTTAAGAATTTAATTTGGAATTCATACAACCTCTACTTTAATTATGAGATACAATATTTATTCAGTTTTAATTGGAAATTTCATTTTCAACTAATATTTATGAAAAAAAAAATAATAATACAAACCGGCAAATATTTAATATAAATAAAAGCAAAAAAAAAAAATCTGGCGAACTTGAACTTCACTCATACAATGAAGTTTTTGAGTTTTTGAGTTTTTATATTTTATTTGTTTTAACAACTTGTTGAGTTTCTGTTTAAGCCAAGCTCTTACTTTTGTTGTTGTCTGAGAGTTGCATTGAAACTTGCATAATCGTTATAGTCAAGCTGTGCTTAAGATTATTGCAGCACAGTTGACGGTGAATTCAATGAAATTATGCACTCGTAAAGATGCCAAAAACTTTGAATGAAAAATTTTGTTTTAAATAAAAATAAAAAAAAATAAATACTCACATGAAAACGATTCAAATTTTTTTGTGGGTAAATCTTTTTTCTTGCTTCACTTAATTGATTGCTATTGAAATCAAGAAAATATTTATTAGGAAATTATTTTGATTTTTGTGGGATATTTTAGCTTTTATTGTCATAATAAGCTTAACATGTATGTTAACATAACGTGTTGTTGTTATTGGTATCAATGTGGTTCATTGTTAACAGTAAGCATATTATGTTAGTTCTGCTGCTATTGGCTATTGCTGTTGCAATGTTATTTATTTGAAAGTAGCTTTTTCAAGGAAGACACTTCAATTTATGTGAACTCAATTTTTAACAAAATTTTAGATGTAGTGCTAATTTGTTATTGTTTCTATTCATTCATAATATTCATTGATTCTCTTTATATTATAGTTATTGTAAACAATTTCGCAGTTAATGCGTTTATGTTGTTGGCGTTTTTGTTTTTGTTTTTGTTTTATGAATATTTTACAACAGATATTTTATTTAGCCTTTTTATTTGCTTATTTATGTTGTCTTTGGTTCATTGATCTGCGCTTAACAGCTGAAGCTGAAGCTGATGCTACGCTGCCTTTAATCATGCAGATGTTGTTGTTACTGCTGCTGTCTTCATCGTTTTTGCTTTTGCTTTTGTTATTGTTTTTGTTATTGGTTTTTATTTATTTGTTTTATTAATATGCTTACGGCTTACGGCTTACGGATTACATTGCTTTTGTTATAAAATTACTGTTTTTTGTGCAATTTGTTCAATTTGTTAAATCTCTTATATTAATTATTTAATGTAGTAATGAAAAAAATGTTTAGTTAAACATAAGTATGTATATAGATATAGAAAATGATTGTTAGCAATACCTTAATCGCTTCAATATGATCTTCTTGAACTGAACGCTTCACAATAATTAGCTGGAAGTAGTCGAAAAAAGGACGTTCATTGAACTATGCTATCTGCCTGCACATACTCGTTTAAGCAAATTCTGTGGCTTTTTCGTGTTAAAGTCAAGGTCCAAATAACCCAAACAACAACAATTCGGCATACATTCACTTGTAACCGGAAACTGCTTACAGTATTTGCCTTATATATGTCTGTGGTTCATTGAATATATTGATTATTGCCCTTTTGTTCTCAGATGTTTAAATTAATTTAATTTTAATATATTTTTTTGGGTTTTTGATACTTTTACAGATATAATCAAGTTTGCTACCATTGGCGTTGTTCTTCTCTTCGCTTCGACATTAATTATTCTTAATGATCCTGTGCAAATGATTGTAGATTCGGTAAGTGGGAATTTATTATCTTATTTGCTTATTTTATGTTTTTTGTTTTTTTTTTGTTTTCCTTGCAATCTAAATTACATGAATTTTTCACTATTTAGCAATTGGCCATGAGAACTGGTTCGTTATTATATAGTTTTTGGATTAAACCACCATTGGAAGTTTTACTTAAGGTTTATATATTCAACATAACAAATCTGGAAGAGTTTAAGCTTGGCATTGATAAAAAATTGAAACTGCAAGAGATTGGACCATATGTTTATCAAGAGTTTCTGGAAAATGTTAATGCTTCGTTCCATGATAATAATACGCTTAGCTACTTACCAAAACGTCACGTTAAGTTTATACCAGAATATTCAGTTGGTGATCCAGAAGTAGATCGTATTGTTGCACCAAATATACCATATATGGGTGTTACATCAGCTATATCGAGCATATCTGGCTTCGCAGCTTTTGGTTTAAGAGTATTAACGAAACAATTCAATGCGAAGTCAATATTAGATATCTCTGTAAATGAATACTTATGGGGCTATGATGATCCGATGGTTAATATGGCGTCTAAAATTGTGCCAAGTTTTATAAACTTTGAACGTTTTGGCCTACTAGATCGTGTAAGTGAAAATAAATTTGTGAATATATTAAAATACTTTATTTTATATGAAACATATCTTATATTGAATTATATGAAGTATATATATTTATGTGTACATCATAGAAATAGATAGTATGCATCTATTTCTATGTATGGACCATGCTTTTAATCAAAGTATAATATAAGTTATTGGGGGGTTTAAAGCACATGGCTAGCAAGACGTCAAAGGACATAGTGGTAGGGGTTGAGACGTAGGTGATGGATCATGCAATCGTGAGGTAGCATCGTTCGATTCGCAAAAGATACGGATTGAATTGAATAAATAAATTAAATGAAATAAAAAAAGTTTCCACTCAAAGTAAATTCATTAGCAACATCATCGACAACATCATATCATAATAAAGATTGTTTTATTAAAGTAATTCTAGTTATTCTATTATGCAAAAATTATTTTAGTGTATTACTAATATATTTTGAATTATTAGAACCACATAGTATATACATGGTAGAAATGTTAAAGCAATTGAATTCCTCTTACCGATGCCTTGTGCAATTTCAGATGTTTGATGAAGGCGATAATTTAATAACTATTCGACTGCCAGATAAAAAAAAATCAAATTCAAATGAGATTAAAGAAGAATTTCGGGACTATTCAATAGAATCTTGGAATGGTAAAAAAGGCATTGGAATATGGGGTTTCAGTGACACTAATAAGTAAGTGGAATAGATTTGATACATTTTCAAGGATAACTATATATTTAATTATTTTTTAACATTATTAGTAAAAGCAACACGGCGTGTAATACACTTAATGGCGCTTATGATGGCACCCTATTTCCACGTAATATTAGCGCAGGCGAAACTTTTCGTGTCTATCGCAAGGCATTCTGCAAAACTTTGCCGATTACATATTCACATCCTGGAAAATTTAATGGGATCGATGTGCTTAATTTCAAATTGCCAGATAATGCATTTGAAACAAATATAAACGATCCGGATACTGCTTGTTTTTGTCAGGAAAATAAATGCCTTAAAAGAGGTTTGGGCAACATTACTCCTTGTTACTACAGTAAGTACATTACCTATTAGACATTACAGTTAATTTATTAGTCAGTATTTATATAGAAATCAATAGAAAGTTCTATGAAAATGTGTATTGTATAAATATATATTATTGTAAGATGTGGTCTGCAGAATATGGAATTAATAAGTATACTGAATATGGAATTAATAAGTATCTTAAATTAAGTGGAGTGTGCCGCAATATTCAATGTTGTTCATTTGCTTCTATTTTTACTTAGATAGCTGTATATACTGACTATATTCAGATAATTAAAAAACTAGACATGGGTAAACTGCAATTCTGAATAATTTTTCGACTACGTGGAAACACTGGTTATATGTCGATAGTTCTGGTTCTTCAGATACTAGCTAGAGTAACTAAATGATGTTTAACACTGACTAGACGTGCCGTTTATGGTTATTCATATAATAATTTCTATTTAAAACCGGATTTTTCAAGAATCAAGTTGTATTATCATAAAGCGTAGTTGAAAAAGTTACTAAATTTAGACGATTCGTATTTGAATCGTACTGCATAAGACTATCAAAAACTATTAATTCTGTTACTGCTCTACTAAGTTAAGATGATTTAAACATATTTAAATTTTTTAATATTATGATAATACAGATATTCCACTGGCATTATCATTTCCTCATTTCTTTAATGCTGATCCTAGCCTTTTGGATGAAATTGAAGGACTGTACCCAATTGAAGCAAAACATGGGACTGAAATCGCGATACAACCGGTAAGTGATTTATTATCCTCTACACTATAACATATATATCTTAAATTTATAAATATATTTTTTTAAGTCTTATTGCAATTGAACTTTAACTTTATGTCTTAAATTGTTGAAATTTTCCCAAGCAAAACACAGTTTAATATGGTAAATATAACTTTTACATGTACATCTTTTTGTAGCAACTTGGCATTCCGATGCGAGTGCATTCCCGCTTCCAAGTTAATCTTTTAATGGGAGATATAAAGTTCAACTCGGATATGACACGGTTTCGTAATACTGTACTTCCCATATTTTGGCTTGATATTGTAAGTATTTTAGTAAAGTTTTAAGATATCAAATTTTGCACTACATTACCAAATTTATATGTGACTATTAACAATTTTATTAAAATTGTTGTTGTTTCTATAGGGCATAGAGACGTTGCCTCCGCATATAATATTCCTGCTGCAACTTTTATTTAAAATAGCTCCCTATGCGCAGCTGGGCGCCATTATTTTATTCACCACTGCTGGCGTTTCACTCGTTGGCACATCGCTTCTATTGTATATTTGGCTACCAACTGCATGGAATTCCTTGAATGTGACCATGGAACATACGTTAAGTGTGGAAGCTGCAAAAATGACAAATGTATGCCTTATGCCACTATTAAAACAGTCAAAGGACATAAAAGGCCAATTGTGTAAACAGCAAATGGGCAGCAAACCGGAGTACGAACTGATAATGCTTCCGCTGGAAAAGGAGTTGGATGCGGAGGACTTCATGGTATAGGGGTTAGAAATAGTACGAGTATTTACAATATTTTTGTAAATATATAATTAATTTATGATTCAAAATGTGTATAAGAGCATATGATAGCTGTGATATTAAAAAATAAGCATTAAGCCTAAGAGTTTTGGTAAAAATGATTAAACATGCATATGCAAAGAGATAAACTAACATGTATAAGTGTGTGGTGTTTTTAGAATTTAATAATTTGTTTTATTTCTAATTAATAATTTATATTGCTTTAATAAATTTTTTTAAGACATTTTGTATACAATTAAAAAAAATAAATAATATAATAAAAAATACTACATTTATAAATATCTTAACTATACTCGCACTGTCTGTCTTAGAGAATATTATTATTTTTGTCTCTATTCATAGGCAATTGTATCCTGTATCCATTTCATATAATAAGAAGTTCTGGTATAAACATCTGGAAATCCTTTAATTGCACAGCCTGAACCAAATGAAGTTATACCTGCCAAAATCCAGGGACCATTTTTCGAAAGACGACATTGCAAAGGACCGCCAGAATCACCCTGTATAAGCAATGTGCAATAACATTAATAAGATTTAGGTTTCAACTTCAAAACTGTAAAAGTTATTCTCATAACTACTTAGAGATAAAGAATGAAATGAACTACACTTACCACACAAGTGCCTCCCTTTCCATTGAGTTGACCTGCACATAAATGGCCGCGATGAATCTTAACAAAACTACCATATGCCTCCTTGCACCTTAAAGCAAAATTTAAAAAATTTTTAGCTTAGAAATTTTCTAAAAATGGATTAAAATAAAGTTCGTTTAATTACCGTTCACTACTGTGTAATGGTACACTAGTTTTTAGCAACGTATCAGTCAAATCACCAGTCATATTCGATTTGCCCCATCCTGTAGCAACGCAATCGATAAATGGCAAGTCCTTGTAATCTTCGGTATCTATATTATGCTTATGTTCGATTAAGCCCTCATATTCCTTATCATTGGCGTGTACTTTCATCAGCTTGTCATTCCGTCTGCGTGTTAAGTATAGTCCGCGAAAAGATTTTTGCGATTGTGTTTTTCTGAGGCGACTCAAAATCTTAGTACTCAATAGTTCTTTCATGCTTGGCATTGTAACATTACGATGTTTACGTATATTTTGTACACTTCGCAAAAAATTGTCCATTTTTTCTGGCACCTCAGCTAGACCAAATTCCAAAGGGTCTTCAAGAAATTCAGCTTGTAAATCTTCATCATTTGCTACATTACTATGATCATTAAAAATAAATGGTAGACATATACGACGAATATTAGAGGTTTTAGTGAGATCAGCTGGCATTGAGAGCTTCATCAAAACAAGATCATGCAAAAAGTTATGGTAATGCTTATGTAGCACTATTTTTTCAACTGGTATACGTTGTTCATAACCTGATTCTTCATATCGGTCATACTCTCCCAGTACAACAGTCCAAAGTGGAGGTATGGGCAAATTAAATAAATCACTATGCATGAGTAGAAATAGAGGATTTCAAAACTAAAGTATAGGTTAGTTTTAGACTTACTTGTGTACGCAATGTGCTGCGGATAAAATCCAAAATGGATGTATAAGTACTGCACCACACCAATGACCTAAAAAACCCATTGATGGATGTAATAACTCCAAAGATACTTGCCATGGAAATTGTCCTTCCTTTGTGGGTGCTCCAGCAATAATTCTAGGTGTTCGGTTATTGTAGGGATTTGATTGTTGGTTTTGTACTTCTTGTTGTTTCGGTGTTCTTTGAATTCGAGGTTCACGTCTTGGCGGGCGCGCTCCGCATTCTGTGAAAATAAAATTTTCTGATTTATTTTGCACTTTTAACTCAATATGAATTATATGAAATTGATAAAATTATAATAAGCTTAATTTCTAGATATTTATTTTAAAACTAGTAGTTTAAAAAAAATAATTATGATCAACAAAATTATTTGATGGTTTCTTAGTCGGAAATCTAATTTCATGAGCATTTATTAATTTATTCTTCGTACAATACTTTCATCATTATGTTTAGTATATCTATATGAAGATTATGCAGATATTATTCTTACTACATTATAACTTCTAATACAAGGTTCTATAAATATTGGAGAATAAAAATGTCAGAAAAATTGGTCCAAGAGCGAAAATCAAAGATTGTGTTGGAAGTTTGAATAGTTAAGTATTTTAAGTACAAATGTTTTAATATCAATAAGGAAATTGATATTAACAAAGTGTCGAAAATTTGGTTAATACAAATTTTTTGGACTCTTCAGTTTTAATTTTTGAAGTAAAAATCAAGCAAAACGAACATTATGTTCCTCTTTCGGTTAAAGTAATCTATCGTACTGATACAGCAATGACATGCAAGTCTCTTCATCAATTCTGTGAATTCACTAAAGCGATGCTTATATCAGAGTTGGAAAAGTTTGTGCGACCTTTGCAAGATTCGTCCTTTACAGAAATATATCTGATGTAGAATCTACAAGGCAGTAACAAACAATGGTGTATTAACAGCGTATGCCATTTGGGAGTCGTTAAATATTTCCACAGGTTTAAGGTTGCTCAAGATCGAAATTCATAAAGAATGGCAAAGCGAATCTGTTGCTGGGTTAGTGGCGGAGTTTGTACTAAGTTTTTGTCATTAAATTTGCGTTTTAAGCAGGACACGCTGCTAATATTTGACGAAGTACTACACACAGTTTTTAGTAATAAAGTGGAATCTGAGATCAATGGTATAGTCATAATCTAGAATGATACCAATATCACTTAGCGAAAATGACATGGCACTTAACTTAGAACTATTGTAATGTGCCACATTATATATTAAGTAATGTCCGGGTAGTCAAAGTAGAGGTGTAAAGGTAGGAATAAGAACTTAGAGAATGGAGATTGCTCACGTATAGATGTAAAAACTACTACACGCTATGATCGAAACAGCGGTATATTGCCGATGATGATGATGTGATTATTAAAAAATTTTGTGTTTGATTTTACCTTACTAATTCTTCAATTCATAAAATAAATTAAATACATATTAAGTTTAATTATATATTTAATTATAATATATTTCCTAACTATTTATTTAATTATTGTCAATTTGTTGAAAGTGTTTATATTACATTTTAAAATGATTGACTTATATGAAGAACTTTTGACACGTGTATAATTAAATATTACTATTTAAAAATAAGTATATGTATAAAATATGCAAAATGTTATGCATATGTATAAAATATACCACTTTATTCATATAACATATTATAATAGTCTTACATAAAAAAGTGTCCTAAAGAAAAGCTATTATATTCTAAATAAATTCTCTTTTCAACAACTTGCCTTGTTTTTCAGTGCACCTATAATTAAAGTGATTGATTAGTGAAAATAATGAATAGCTTGCACTATTAAATATTCATAAAATTAAAGTTATTAACTTGATTACATCTTAAATGTATGTTTAACCAGCCGATAAAATTCCAATAAAACTTTGTTAATGGCGTTTTGATTACAAATTATATTACTATAATAAGTGGATGGCGATAAGGTCACTGCAACTGGTTATCAAGAAACGAACTCAGTTCACTTGCAATTTCTTATTTCTTACCTTCTCAGAATTCATTTAATAATATGTACTTCCGGTAATATAGCGAAACTATGCATTGAATTTATCAAAGAGTTATTACTTTGTAAACTGTGATAAATAGATGCAGTGATCTTGGATAGCTTCAGCGATCAACAAACTAGACAAGTAGTCTTGTTTTATTACTCTCCTTTCTTACATCAGGGTAATATAGAAGTCTATTTGATTTAGTAGTGATTGGAGATCGGAATAGTACAAGAATTTTAACGAAACTTAATGTTAGGATAGTTTTTAAATAATTTACACAGAAATTCTTTAACAATTGTAAGAACTGAGACGAATGTTTAATTTTGAGAAGATGCAATTGTTTTTCTCATACACGATGTTTTTGAATTTCAATTAAAATTAATCATATAAACCTAATATAGTAATTACAAATGTTAATATACATATATTATACTTATATGTTATTAAGACACTTAATTGAGTTAATCAAATTCTATTTAATTATTTATTATACATAGTAGATATAAATTTCTGTATTACACTAAACGCTTTTCACTAAATATAGGTTAGGGTTCAGTATTATTAACGTTATTGTTAAGATTGTTGCTTATAATAATTGGACACTATTTTAGAAGAACTATTAATTGAAATTATATTAATATCATAAATCAGAGGGCATGACTTCTGAAAGCTGTAATATGTGCAGATAATATCGCATATAATCGGTTTCTCTCGACTTTTAAGAGAACTATTCATACTAATGTGTCTTATAAGATATTCTTCAAAATATTTTGTTTGCGCTATCGGATTGCAACAGAATGGTACTCGACAAAAACCAATGTGGATCAAATTTTTTTTACTGCAGCAAACTGCCGATTGCAAGTAATCGAGGTTATAAGGAAATAATAGAATAAAAGTACAATTTTTGATGCATATTGTGTGACGCCTGGAAACTAAACTAAAGAATTCTTCATATTATTACATGAATAGAAAATTGTGAAATATGTCAAATCACACAGATTAAGATAGATAGCATATGTTACAAATATAAACGTTGAAATGACATACGAAAAAGTTTTTGATTACAGCCTAGGGTATACCAATCTACAAAAGACATCATTACACAAATTCCTGATTATAGCCCTCAGAGCAGCAGAAGCACTTGGTATCAAAAATCGTAAATTTTTTGGTTATCTTTTTTCAATGGATAATATTGGCTTGGTGAATAGAGGGCAGCATCGCTGCCCTTAAACCTTTAACAGTCCATAATGAGTTTATTTTTTGCGTAGACTTTTTGATGCCAATTGTATACGGAGTTGTAGTTTTGCTTGCGAATTGAAGATATTTTTCTTTGTTATTTTCGTAAAAATATTATTAACACTTTCATTATTACCACTTTTGTATTACCTGTTGCGAATTGATTTGCTTTAGAATATTGCTTAGGGTTTGCGGCTACACTGCACAAAATGATGCACATTAATAGTAACAGTGATGAGGTGTTGTGGAAGAGGTAAGTCATTTTTAAACATGCTTTTTTATTATTTAAAAATCTATTATTCTCGGACAGTTGAACATTTTTATTATATGATATTAAATTTAATTTCTTTCATTAATAATTTGCACAATGAAAATTCAAATAAAACTAAGTTTTAAGCTTTGCCAATTGTTTCTTGAGATACTTTAAATTTTTCAATTCAACTGAAGTTTTACTTTCACAAAATTGCAACACTTCAAATTAATTGCTGCTTAAAAATTGTTTCAAACATTTTCTTTAATACTATGAATTTTTTTTTTTTTTTTGACGTATGCAAATTAGCAATTAACGTAAACTTGCGGCTATTCGTAGTTGAGATTTGAGACTTTGTAGCTCAACTCATAATTAGTAATGATATATTTGCGTACGGTTCAGGTAAACTGTATCTAGACGCCTGCTAGTCTTGCGGGCCCATTAATCAACTCGTACGGCGCTTAGCCAATAAAATTACATAATTGCCACTGGCAGCAGCAACGACTACCAGCGCGCAACAGCAATGGAAGCAGTAAAAGCGCGAACCAGCAACACTACAACATTTTCAAGTTCACATAGTATGGGCCGTTGTTGTAGGAAATAAAAGTTGTCAATTATGAGCCAAACAAGTGCCAACCGATTTTCCAGCCAAAAAATCAAAAAAAAAATATATCTAAGTACGAATTTGCCACAAAATGTAAGTTTATTCCGATTGCAATATATCTCGATTATGGTTATGGTTTTTCGTAAGATACGCAATAATTTTTCCGTTTTGGCCACAAAATGCGAATCGCACGCGTCGAAAGATAAAATGCAACTGCGAGGGTCTTAAGTTTGCCATCGTTGATTTTGACTACAGATTTTGTGTATTTAGTTTCAGTTGCTGTTGCTTATGTTGCTGATGTTGCTGTAGTTATTTATTATTTTTTGAAGTTTTTTTTTTTGATTTCTTTAGGTGTTGCATGCCTCTGTGGGGTGTTACGACAAATGCGCTTGCGCACAGGCAAATTAAAAATGCGGGGAGAGCAATATCTATAAAACAAACAAAAGAAAATAATCATAGTATAGACTGAAAACTAAAAGCTAAAACTGACAATGTGCAGATACACAGCCAGCAACAACAATGAAATAATCTATGAAAGAGAAGGTGATCGAGAGTGCATAACGGCAACAGTTGTACGTTTACTTTCGTTTTCGTTTGGATGCAGTAACTTCGGTCAGGCAAAATGCATATAACCCATAACAAACAGCAGCATCAGCATCAGCATCAGCATTAGCATCAGTATCAGCATCAACGTCATAATCCTCAACAAGCTCATCATCATCATTATGAGCAACAACAATATCGTGATCAATTCCAATGTTATTAAACATAGATGCTGCTACTGCTGTTTTTGTTGTAGTAGTAGTAGTTGTTGTTGTTGTAGTTGTTAGTTAGCGGCAATAGTTAGGCAACTATGCAGCTATTGCCACCTTCGTGTTTGTTGTCAGCAACATTTTATTATGCGCTCAGTGCTCAGTACTCAGTGTTGAGCGCTCAACGCTTTTGTTTATTTGCTTGGCTAATAACATTTTATGTCAATTCATCTTTTGTATTAATTCAAACTTATAAGTCATTTCTGCTGTGCATAATTGCAACAACATTAGCAATAATATGCCACTAGCAGCAATAAAACAATAAAACAA